GAGAGAGCAGTTTCAATCATATGGTAGCCTCTGCTGTTTGTCCTCCTTGTGCTCGTCACGCAGCAGGCAAGCTCTCCCTATGGTGAGTGGGCTGTGAGTGACTATGCCATGCTATAAACATGTGGCGACTGGCTCATCTGTTTCCCTCCATCTGCTCATTCATGCTGCTGACAAGCTCGCCCTCCTCCGCGCTCCCTATGGTGAGTGGAGTGTGGAGGCACTATGTGTGCCATAATGCTCCCATTCTCTTCTCCCTCTGGGCTGCTCGTCTGCTCGTCTGCTCGCCTTCTCTGCCTTTGTCCTTCTCGTGCTTGTCCACGCTGCTGACAAGCTTGCCCTCCTGCGCGCTCCCTATGGTATGTATGTCCAGTAACCAGTTCCATACAGCACATGCATGTCATGCGTGGGGCAGAAGCTGTGGAGGCACTGTGTGTGTCATGTTCCTCTCCTTCTCCCTCTGGGCTGCTCGTCTGCTCGTCTGCTCGTCTGCTCGTCTGCTCGTCTGCTCGCCTTCTCTGCCTTTGTCCTCCTCGTGCTCGTCCACGCTGCTGACAAGCTCGCCCTGCTGCGCGCTCCCTATGGTATGTGTAGTGTGGAGGCACTGGGCCATGCGACACAGCACATCACACACATGGCGGCAATTTTGAGTCGATCCAAAAGTTGGCTTTTGAGTCGACTCAAAAGTCGGTACGTGTAGTGTGGAGCCACTGTGCCATGCGACTCAGCACACACATGGTGATAAGCGCTGCGATATCCCTCCTTGTGCAGATGCTACTCGCCCTCCCTCCCTCCCTCCCTGCATGTTCCCCCTTTCCCCTTCCTCTTTCTGTGTGCACTACTGTGCCATTGTGACAGTACTACTGTGCCATTGTGACAGTACTTCTGTGCCATTGTGACAGTACTTCTGTGCCATTGTGACAGTACTGCTGTGCCATTGTGACAGTACTTCTGTGTCAGAACTTAGGCTTAGAAGTGATGCATTAGTAGTGAGCTCAAAGCTCTTTAAGTACATCAGGAATGAGCAAGGTATGGATGAGGAGGGAATCAGGGGGCAATCCTAGGGAATTGGGGGTAATCCCAAGGCAATCTCCAATTGGTGGGTTGGAGATTGCTTGGAGATCACATTTGGGTTTGGTTGGGATGTGGGTGTACACCCAACCAAACACAAAGTGCAAACTACACTAAACTAGGATATAAAAGTACAAGTACAAAATGTGAGATTTGAGGGCTAACACTAACACCCCCCCATAGGCGTCAATCGAACTCAAAGCGGTGGAGGAGGAGCGCAGAGCCCCATGGAGCCGAGAAGGCGATGGTGAGGGACCTTCCCAAGGGGCTTGGTGAACAGATCAGCCAAGTTGCAGTCGGAGGCCACATACTCCACATTGAGCTGCTCTCGCTGGACAAGGTCACGGATGAAGAAGTGACGAAGTTCGATATGCTTGGTGCGGGTGTGGTAGACGGAATCCTGGGAGAGGTGGATGGTGCTCTGGTTGTCACACCAGAGGGTGGGAGTGGACTGAGGAAAACCAAGCTCCTGGAGTAAAAACGAGAGCCAGCGGGCCTCCTGAGCCGCCATGGTGCCAGCATAGAGCTCGGCTTCACAGGAGGAGAGGGAGACAGCAGACGACCGGGTGGAGCGCCAGCTGACAATCCCGCTCCCAAGGGTGAAGCAGTAGCCTTGGGAGGAGCGTCGGTCGGTCTGGTCATCTGCCCAGGAGGAGTCTGTGTAACCTTCCAGTCGAGGAGGGGAAAGCCCACCAAGGGTGAGGACATGGGACTTGGTGCCCTGCAGATAGCGCAGCACCCGCTTTGCCGCTTTCCAATGAAGGTATGTGAAGCGCCCAGGAGCCACATATCGAGAGAGGACACTGACAGGGTATGCCAAGTCAGGCCGGGTGCACATCATGGCGTACATGAGGGACCCAACAAGCTCTGGGTACGGCTCAGTGCATGCCTCTGGTGTGGGTACAGCTGGGGCGGTGAGGAGGTGTTGTAGCGGCAGTGGGGTGGCGATGGGGGTGCATTGTTCCATATCGAACCGCTTGAGCACATTGTTGATGTAGAACTCCTGGGAAAGAGAGATGGTGCGAGCCTGACGATCGCGAGTGATCTCCATCCCCAGGTAGTGTTTGAGATCACCAAGGTCTTTCATCAAGAGGGCCTTGCTTAGGGCCTCCTGAACAGAGGCCATCTGGGCCGAGTCCTTGGCAACGAGGATGAAGTCATCGACGTAGACAAGGATGTAGAATGACTCAGAGTGGTGACGAATGAAGAGGGTTGGGTCGGCAGAGGATGGGTGAAAATCCAGTGAGAGAAGGACTTCCTTCACTTTGTTGTGCCATTCCCGAGGGGCTTGCTTGAGGCCGTAGACAGGGCGATTCAGCTTCCAGACAGTGTTGGGAGGAAATTTTCGCGGAAAGCCTTCAGGTCGATCCATGAATACGGTTTCCTTGAGGCGTCCTTGCAGGAAGGCCGAAGATGCGTCTATAGATTTGATCTCAAAGTCTTCTCGTGCTGCTACATCCAAGAGCGTGCGAACAGTGGGTGGTTTGGATGTGGGGAGAAGGTCTTGAAAAAATCCAGGTACTGCTGCTGGGTGAACCCTTTGGCCACGTAACGCGCTTTGAATATCGGGGCCTCGTCCGGAAGCTGTTTCACTCAAAACAGCCACTTGCCACCAACGATGTTAACTCCTGGAGGTGGAGTTTCGTCGTCGAAGGAGTGGTTGCGGGTGAAGGCTTCAATCTCAGCTTCCATGGCAGTGCGCCATACGGCAGCATGGGGACCCGAGAGAGCCTCTTGAACGGTGAGAGGGATGGGGATGGTCGGGTTCTCCGTGAAGTTGAGTGAGGGTGACTCAGTGATGTCGGGGAAAATGTGTGAGAGCTGAGGAGTGACTGCATGAAGATCACAGAGCTCCTCATGCCTGTCTTCCAGAAGGGTAGACGGCATATCCCCCCCAGCAGGAGGAGTCGGAGTGATCGCTGTGCAGCGAATAACCAGGGCCAGTGGAAGAGCAGGGCCATGCGAGCGAGTGCCATGAGCCACCGGAAAGGAGGGTGGAGCAGGCGGTGTTGGAGGGGTTGATTTAGGAGACTTAGGCGGGGGAATTGGTCGCCGCTGGTATGTGGTCAGTGCGGGCGACTGTGGTGGAGGGGGTGCCTGGGTGGAAGAGGGTACTGGTGGAGGAGGTGGGGCCGGAAGGTTCGACCGCCGATGGTATGTGATTGGGGCGCTCGGAGTGGGCGGCACAGCTGGCAGTGGGGAAGGTGAGGGGGAGGGAGGAGCAGCTGCCGAAGACACCGGTGAGGTCGGGTCAGAGACCTTAGAGGGTGATGGTGCGATGGCAGGAGAGGGAGGAGGTGAGGGGGCCGGTGCAGGCGGGAGTTCGGGAGGCACATCAAAGTCTGCCCAGACGAGAGAGGGCGGAGCAGAGGGAGGATCCCGACCCGAGGTGGAGTAGAATGGGCGGGTCTCATCAAAGACCACGTCGCGGCTTCGGACGAGTTGTTGAGTGGAGGGGTTGAGGAAGAGGTAGTCAGGGGAGTCGGCATTGTGCCCAAGATAGACGCACGTTTGGGTCTTGGGGCCGAGTTTGCCACCGTGCTGCCGCCTAGCCTGAGGGTTGAGGAGGACATAGGCGGTGCACCCCCAGACGCGAAGGGAGCGAGCACTGGGTGTTTTCCCGAGCCAGAGTGTGGTAGGAGTGGTGTCGGGAAGATGCGGATGGGGGTAAAGATTGTAGAGGAGGGCAGCATGGTAGAGGGCGTATCCCCAGAGGGGGAGTGGGGCATTGGAGTGGCTGAGGAGACACCGAGTGATTTGCACCAGAGTGTGGTTGCGGCTTTCTGCTATGCCGTTCTGCTGCGGGCTGTCGGGAAGGGTGAAGTTTTGTTGGATGCCTTCTGAGGAGCAGAAGGCTTTGAGCTTGTCGTTGCAAAATTCACCCCCCCCCATCCGAGTGAAGGCGCTTGGCCTTGCGGTCAAAGGTGGCTTGTGCCTGCTTGACCCACGCCATGATGACCTCTGGAGCCTCAGCCTTAGTGTGGAGGAGGTGAACAGAGACGTAGCGGGAGTGGTCATCCACGATAACAAGGAAGTAGCGATAGCCACCTCGTGCGAGAACAGGGGCAGGGCCCCAGACGTCCATGTGCACTAGATCTAGAGGTGCTGCTCCAACTGTGGGTGAGGCAGGATGGGGCTGTTGGCGCAGTTTGCTCTTGGTGCAATCAAGGCACGTGGGAGCGGGTGAGTCAGGTGGTGGAGGAAGTGTGGCTGGCAGACGGAGAAGAAGTTTCTTGGAGGCCATGTCAGCAAGCGTGCGGAAGTTTGGGTGCCCGAGCCGATGGTGGTAAAGGATAGTCGGGTTAGAGAGGCTGCGACATGAGCATGGTGTGATAGTAGTCTGTGCTTGGGTGGTTATAACCTGTGGAAGAGGTACGCGTAGCGTGTAGAGGCCGCTGCTATTGAGGGTGAAGCGGGCCAAGACCTTGTTGGTGGGTGGATCGATGATGTCGCAGTAGTCCTTGTTCTCCGAGAAGATGGTGCGTAGCCCTGCATTCTGAATTTCCGTTTGAGCCACTAGATTGTGGCGTAGTGAAGGCACGCACATGCCAGTGACAGTGCCGGATGGGAAGGCGGGGCATGGGACTGTGGAGGTACCCTTGGCGAGGGTGGTGAAGCTTGAGTCAGCTCCCAAGAGGGGGATAGGTGTTGGGTAGGGTTTGAAGGAGAGTGTCTCCTTGAGCACAGTGTGAGTGGCCCCGCTGTCGAGTGTGAACTCTATGTATTGTGGTGCCTGTGATGAGCCGATGTACTGGGAGGTAGCTTCATTAATCATGGCAGTGCCAGGGAACAACAGGTTAATACACGCATCAGCAGGGGCACTATCACAAGTACTAGCCGAAGCGGGGTCCTGGACCTCAACTAGGTTGGCCTTACGAGGGCGCATCCAGTTTGGCGGCTTCTTGTCCACTCCGTGAATGGCGTACCATTCG